AAGGAATCTTGGGAATATCGATCGCGGTTCTTATTCCGAAAAATTTCTTTACTTTGCTGTGGAATTATTTTGCTGGAATTTAAGGGGGCAATACAACAGATGAAAATAAGCAGATATTTGTGAATTTTTTTTGTATAGGATACGGAAAGAAGCTACAAACTAAACCGAAACTGTCGAGTGCGTAGCGTTACATCCATTCTTTTCTCCATTGAGGGAACCTAAACATCTACCAACAGTTTACAAACACTTGAAACATATCGAAGAACCCTCTGAATACGTTCTGCACCATAGAAATGAAACACAGTAGAAATGAAAATTTTTTTTAGAATCGAAAGCGTTTCATTAGATTCACAAATTTGGACTTTGTACTTCTGGACATGAATTTTACTTTCACACTTTCATTGTATAATTTGTACATAAAAATTAATTCTATTACGTTATGACACCTCAAGAAAGATTATAATAATTATTACAAACGATATGATAACCCTAAATACCTTTCGTACAAAGTTCAACTATGTTTTATGTAACCAAGTGTCCGGATACTTATGGACGGTATATATGTACCTAACCTAACCATACATACATCATCCCCAAATTTCCCCATATGTCCCCACAAATATTTTTCCCATACACGCACCTCAACCAAATTATTCTGAATTAAATTCACCAACCAAAAAGGTAATTATAAATGAAAATAATTAACCCAAACGTGATAAGGAAACTGCACGGTTCATTTGACGTAATTCGAAGGCAAATGCGACGATATTACCGTACGTGTGATCTTTGCATTCTCAATTTCGCTGTTTGCTTTGTCCAGCGTACAAGGGAGCGGTGCAACTTTTCAACAATGCGGGTCACGGGTGAGCTTCATTAAACGCAAACACAAATTTCCTTTTTCCGTAACGAAAGTTTGCGATAAATATTGCTTGCAAACGTCAGTGTCAACAGATCTTTCTAAGCTTCAATAAAATATTCCCTACACATTTAACCCCTTGCCGTGCCATTTATTTATGAGGTGCGTCAGTCAAGACTAACCATTCATAACATTAAAACGAACAAAGAAAATGAAAATGTTCTAAGTATTTTATATTCAGGGATCCTTGACAACGCAAATTATAGTTGGATCTAAAATTCGAGTTGAAGAGTATTCAAAATTTGAGTAACATTAATCACATTTGAGTTGTGAGTGCGTCACGAGTGAAACTCGTCAAAGAATAAATTCACTCAAGAATAAGTTCAGAGGGGTTAAAAGATCAAATTCTAACGAGATATCGATTTTCCTTCAGGGATTGAATCGTGGACTATTGTGGAGGATCATTGTGTCGGGACGATAAAGTACAGGTCGTCTTTACAATTCGATGTGTTGGTGCAAAGAACGTGCGTTAGAAAGAACGTTTATTGGTCAAAAGCTGTCCAAACGAGGCTGATGTAACGGGCTTTGTACTCTGCCTCGGTTGACAGCTCGATAAATTTCAAGAGCATGACGCAGCCGAATGTCGAGCACCCTACACGAGGACAACGACACGGTATCAGTCGTTAGGTACGTACATTAATTTCCGTGCTTTGATCGGTTAATTGGATGATCTTTGGATACTGTATTTTTAGTCCGGAGATTCGTGTGCGCGATTACTTGGAAAGTAGAACGCTCGAAATAGTGGTAAAGTATCCACCATATCAAAAGTAGAAACCTTTAAACTTAAAGTCCTAAGCAATCAAAGAACGACACCCACACAAATTTCCTGAACTTTCAAGGTTTTCGAACCTATTGATTTTCAGCCAATCAATTCCCCGAATTCTCACGGCGCCATCGTAGTTTATCAAACACATGTCTACGACTTCCAGCATTCCGCGATAAAATATGAATTCGTTGTCTAATCGATCATCGAGCCATTGAAATGAGGCAGTATTTTCGTCGCCGTACTATTACGGGAAGCCTGGCGAATGCAGATTTCATAACGTGACGTGCTTTGAACACATGGCTACTGCAGGTCTTCAAGGTATCGACAAAACCGCATTAGTCCGCTGGAAACTTCGGTGTCCCCCTTGCAACAAGTTATTTCGTCCGATCAGCTGACCGGATCGATCGGCTCCTAAAACACCTGGTATCTCGAATTCTAAATTGGATTTCATAATTTCTCTTTGGTCACCGCGTCAACAGGTAGTCTCGAAGTTGAACGAAGTCAGGGGTCGAAGTTTAATGGCGGCATTGGGAATTGAGGATTTCGATAGGTTATATCTGGGTTAGAAGGCTGTGATTAGACTTCAAAGAGAGTTTGATTAAGTTCCTGGATGTTGACTCGGTTAGATCTGATCGGTTTTAATTAAACTTTGAATGAGAGAAATTATGCATTAGATTGGAGATTAGGCCTAGAAGGTTTGGGGTCTGGATGGAAAAGATTACTGGGTTGTGATGAGCTGTTAGATCTGTAGGTCTGGGAAAGTGGAAGTACACTGTCAGAAAGTTCAACCTTGAGTTCATAACATGAAATGGACTTAGAATTGTAAGGTCCAACTGCAACTTGTCACAAGGGGGACAAAAACCTGAAAGATAGAGCTTTACCTAAAACCTTTCCCTCCTGTTTCGAGTTATCAATTCTGCCGTTTAACCAGACACTGATTTAACGTCTCCGTGCCGCGCACTCCATTTTCTTTCTGCATTTTCACCGGCAAAATCACTCGTTTGACACTAGGAAGCTGGGGACAAGCAAGCTGACGATTTAAACCTGGATCGTCACTCAACTTCTTCACACACTGTTGCAATCGTCCACTGTCTGTTGCTAATCGAATCTAATTCTCTTCATTAATCTTCATTGCTAATCGACTTCATCTTCAACATAGTTCTCACTGTTAACAGCGTAACAGCAATGACAGCGATAAAAAGATGTCAATTCCCCTCAGATAATTTAGGTAGTCATTTTTCCACCATCACAGCATGTTCCGAAGCACACGTGTCCAAAATTCGAACACTCGCGAAACTTCCTCGCTCCAAGTTTCTAACGTTGCGACCAGAGTCACGCGGCAAAAACGAGCTGCAATTGGTCTCAAACGATTTTGCAGCAAGGGTGCGAAGGGGTGGAGGATACCCCTGCAGAGGTGAAAGCAACGATGGAAGGCGCGGCACACGCGATCGTTTGAAACCGGAGCGATCTTAAATCCGCACTGCTCGATCGCAATCACGCGCGACTGTCGACAAAGCCGTCGTCGTGGTCACAACAAAACCTGCAGGATGGGGGAACCACGAGGGGTGGCGGCGTCCCGACGCCTCCGGTCAACGCGACACCACCCGACAAGCGCGAGAACCCGTAACCAGGCAACGATAATAATTCTTTAATAGTAGGAGGAAATCAAAATATCAACTAAAAAGAAATCGTGAAGTAATAGAAAAATTGATATGGTATTGAAAATGAGGAAGTGGACGCATAGGGTGATGTATGTGTGAGGTAAACATTTGGATGAGGAATTTTAAGTTTGGCACTTTTTTTTGTGGTGAATTTATTATTAGTAAGGTTGCAGTAATCTGTGTTATCGACGATGGATAATTATGACTGCCATCTGTATTATCGACGATAGATAATTATGGGTGCATTCTGTATTATCGACGATAGATAATTATGGGTGCAATCTGTATTATCTACAATTAATTGAGCTGAGTGGATTACATTATGTTTGGGTAATTCATCTAGAACGGGTACATGAGGGTAGTGCGAAGTTTCTACTAAAGTTAATAGTGGTTTAGTAAAGTTAAACCATTCCTAAGTTAATTACTCTTGCTCTCCGGTATAATTTGATGTATTTCATGGCCAATCAAGTCCAAAAAAATTTATAGTTGTTGAAGTATGTCCAATATGTGGTGATCGTCGGAGTAGTCGTCGATCAAGAGGAATTCTATTTTCAAGCCGTCGATAAAGAAGAATTTTATTTGTATTTGATATTCAATTTTATTTATGTTCAATTGTATTTTAAAAAACAAATCGTTCGTTATTCATTCTATAATCAAATCTGAATTCAAAACGACATATTTCAAAATCAATTTTAATAAATCGGTTATTTTTGAAAGTATTAATTAATTGACTATTTTAAATATAGAAAAACACTCTCTATAATATTGTGGTGATCATCAGAGTCATCGTCGATCAAGAAGAATTTCATTTTCAAGCCATCGATAAAGAAGATTTCTATTTATATTTGACATTCAATTTTATTGTTCAATTGTATATTTTAAAAAGAAAAACGTTCGCTATTCATTCCTTAATCAAATTTAAATTCAGCAACACGCATTTCAAAATCAATATCAATAAATCAGTTATTTTTGAAGTTTTAATCTATTAACTAATTTTAAATATAGAGACGCATTCTCTATAAATACGTTACACGTGGCGCCATCTAGTGGTAGAAGACGAGAACTGATTAAACTACAGTTTCAAAAGTGTGTAGTTCACCTTGTCTGCCGAAGAGATGGCGCCACAAGTTCATTTTTTTTTTAATTCCATTATTATTGTGTTTTTATTGATTAATGTACTATATAACTATTATATATGTATTAATATTGATATTATAAAGCTTGCAGTATATTCCTTAAATCCAAAGATGCGAATTGTGTCTTCAAAACAGTTCATACACTGTATTGTATCTCGTCGATAAAATAGAGAATGACATAAGAATCTTAACAAATTTTCCTTCGCTAAAGCCATTCTCCCAGATATCTTCTTTCACAGAAAAGATTGCATTTATATTATATTTGTATAATTTTGTCAACATATGGTTTCCTGAAGATTCTAATCTGTCTCTCATAAAATATTTGACTGACATTACCATGCATCGGTAATGTGTATTATACAGGCCAACAAAAGATGAGATAGATTTCTACAATCACGACTATCGGTACTAGACTATCAGTTTAGACTCTCAATCACATAAATTATTTTTCAACCCTCTCCAAAAATAGCTCTCCATAACACAGAACCTTCTTAACATAAATCTTGTAATTGTGATCCTACCTTAGTGTCGGCCATTCTCCCTCAGTGGTAGTCGTCGGAGCCGAAGTACTCTTATTTGGCAGGCTCAGCCGTGGTCCAATACGAAGAGTCATCGGACGTCTCCTCCGCAGAGTATAATCTACAATATCAAACCACTAAGTATTAAACAAACCACCCACCTCCCTTGACATTTTATTCCACACAAAAATATCGCAATCATTGCAACGGCATTCAATTCCGTTTCTCAAGGTAACAGCAAGTTCTCACCATTAGTACAACACAAAGAGTTCCGCCCTTGAAACACGTGCGGCGACAAGTACTGTGGATGGGGGTTCGTAGGGGTTGTAGGGGTGGTTCTGCTGTTGGGAACCGACATTGTTGTCCAAGGTGGAGCCGCATCCTTCAGTGCGTTCTCCTCTGTTGCGGGCACCTCGTTGGTTACCCGCACCTCTATGCCCACAGTCTGCAAATAAACACCCTTTAATCAAGATTAAACTTCAGGTAAATTGCTTAATCATTAACCCTGTCATGATCCATCTATTTCCTTTGGCTGAATGCCTTTAGGAAACTTGAAGAGAATTTAAGGGAACTTGGAGACCTAAAGCATTCTAATAAAATTGTTGGACTTAAGGGGGGCGTCATTTTCATTTTTTCTGCGCACGCGTCTCCATTGAAGTAAATGGGAAAAAGATGGTCTCACATAAGGTACCTTTTCTGGAGAACCAGAGCACCTACATGTACGCCCAAGGTACCAAATTAAAGCTAAGGAGATGGCTGACAATCTGAGTGAAGTGGATTTTTTTTGTAGGCCTTCAATTTTTTTTAAATTGGCCATAAGTGTGGCCGTTGAAGTAAGTTGTCAGGTTTGAAGTGTTTACAAACCTGAAATTATCAGGCTTAAGTTCTAGAATTTTAAGAATTGTAAAAGGAAAAGTCCTGGGAAATACATAAGGTAAGTCCTCGGAAAGAAATCTAAAGGGAATAGAGCCTAAAGGATCCTGGAGAAGTACTATCTAAAGGCATCCTATTGTTAAAACAATGGGGATGTTTATAGAGGCCTACGAGGAATAAAAGCGTTGGCTACCCGATGTAAACACAAGGGAGCTTTCAATCTATTACGTTTCTTCGTTACTTTGAGAAAATCATTGACGTAGAAAAAAAAGGTCTGCAGCAAGCGAGACGAAGCGTAACTTTAGAGGAGCCGTGGGTCCACGGGCTGATTTGCCCGGCAATTTTCTCCCGCTCCGCCTCGATAACTGGATTCTCCGTGACATTAATAACTTCACTTTGTGGTCCTCTCACAATAATTAAATGCCCCCTCAATAATTAAATTTCACAGAAATTTTGCTCGCGTACCGAGTTTCTATTTTTCAGTTTAAACTGTCTGCCTTCAGAAACACGTGTACAGTTTGTGTGCAAAATTTAATCGATACGCAAATTGCTGAAGGTTAAGCCAAGCTGAGATTGAATGATCCTACTGATCCGATTAAAACTGAAGAAACTATTAACAATGACTTTGACTGTTAAGGACTTTTCTGAAGAAATTGAAAAGGGACTGATCATTTAAGTGGGTGTAGAACTTGCAAGTTCCGTCGCTGAAGCATGAAGGCTCAGCTTTAAGGTCGAATCGAAAAGATGTCGATAGAAAAATTGCAGGTTATCGAGTGGGATTGAACGTTTAATATCGTGACGTTTCTGGGGCAGGCAGTTTGATATTTCGTGTAAATGATTCTTGTAAAAGTGTCCATACCATAACCCATTAAGTTTAATTGTATCGAGATGATTAATGAGAAGAGCAAACTTTAACTATTTTTCTAGACAGATTTAATTTGAATAATTTTCAATTTTAATTTTTTAACAACGATTGAGTCTCGTTATGAGCCCGATGAGGATCTCTGGTTAAGTTAAATGTCACGAAGTATCGAAAAAGCTGTCTGAAAATCACAAGGTCCGTTGTATGCGATGGAAAGCAACGTTTTGTGCAAAAGTTTCTGCATTTTTCTGTCCACCCACGCGGAGAGACACTCCGGAGCTCAGTCAACAGGTAGTGTTTCCATTGAAACGCTGTTTTATAGATACGTGATCCTTTCATCTCTGCTTTCTGCCACGGATTCGTTTGGCCAGGGTAATTCAGAGTCGAAAATAAGCAAAATTTTCATTTCCTGAACCGTCTTTGCATTTCCAGTTTAAACATTTGTACAGTGGTTCTGTGGATATTCTTTCTTTATTGACTGCGATGCTCGTTCGCGAATGTAAAAAATTTATGTTTCAACATTTCGCTGCTATTTTTCTGCACTGACGCTAGTTTTTTGTCTTTACGTTGTTCTATCTCATTTTTGTATTACCTCATTACTTAATTTTTATGTGGTTATGTAGTTTCATTACTGAATTTTTATTTTACTGGGTGGTTTGCTGTACGTGATATTTGAATTGAGTGCGCGAGAGGAGTCACGTGATGTCCAGCGGCCATCTTGTGTTTCTCAGTGCACTGTCAGTTGTCGATGGCATACAGGGTTCTCCATAACGTCGTTTTCAGTCAAAGAGTGTTTATTTTTGAAATTTATTTTGAATATAAATCTGAATGAATTGAATGCTCCTCGCAAAAGCGTATATATCTTCTAATTAGTAAAGTTTCCTAATTGCTACGCGCCCACATTGCTGTATCTTCTATATACTAAATATCTCTGTCACTTCCTACGTAATATCCCCATATAACAACGCAGAATTATTGCAATATTGGCATATTAAATAGCAGCACAACAAATTTAATCCGACGAAAGTACCATCGAAAGCTTGTAAAGCTGTCGGAAGTCACGAGATCATTAACCAATCGATTTTGTATTAAACAGAAATATTGGAACCTTTTTACACGGAAACGTAACAGCCATTTTTTGCGCGAATTTTCGAAAAAATTAACCGGAAATTAATCAGATGGCTCGAGAATTTTAATCTGAACATAAATCGGAACGGTGTGTACGGTGAACGCTTAAATTCGGAGTTCAGGAAATTATCCCCAAAGGTGTTGTTGATGGGATCCGGTTGAACGAACGGTTCATAACGAAGCCCCGTTTCGTTAGTAATTGTTGCCAGCATAGGAATAATTACGGAATTATGATACTCCGTGGATCAACGTAACCGGAATACGTGACTTAATAACTCTCTCCCTCTCTGAAGAAATAACCGCGGTAATAAGGTATGTGGTTTCAAGCCAACGTTATTCTCGTCACTGAATAAAGTGGAGGAAAATCTTTCATTGTGATATTTTTTGCCTCTGCAGTTCTCGAGTTACCGTGAAATCCTGGCCAGAATATGGGAAACGTGTTGCCTGATGAAATGAAATAACGACGTTAAATCAGATCGTATTGTGTTTCAAAAGGAATGTTCCTGAAATAAGTATCGGAAATTTGTAAAAAGAAAACTCATTTGTTGAAAGGTTTTAATGGGGAGAGGTTGTCAGGTTGCAACGGAGATGGAGACGGGGGCTATTCATGTAAAGGGAAAAGTTCGCTGGTCATTTACGAAGATGGGTGCTCGTTTACCGTTGTTAGTTATAAGAACGTAAAATTTGAAAAGATGGAAAATTGTGGTAGAAAAAAGTCACTGAAACAAGGTAATTCGAGGAGAAAAATGAGAAGACAAGGGAAAATCCTGACAAATAAAAACTGTATAAACAATAATTGAAATAAAATGAAAGGAGTAAAATAAATAATCTGGAAAGCAGAACAAAAAACTAAGGAAAACCTTGACAAATAAAAAACTGTATAAACAATAATTGAAATACAACGAAAAAGTAATATAAAATAATCTTGAAGGGAAAAACAAGAAAAACTGATAAATAAAAAAACTATCAAAACAATAATGACATAAAAAGAAAAACCACAGAAATCATAGGGAAAATAAATTACAAAAAATAATAAAAAACAGTGTTTGCTAAAAGGCAACGAGAAAATTAGGTGCAAAAGGCAAGCGAGCACTGTCCCAAAACTTTGCACAAAGCAAAAAACTTCCCAGAAAAGAGATAATGCTATCTAAAAGCGCAGCAGAAAAAAGTTAGATAGAAAACGAAGGCAAACGATAGCAGAAAAATGAGATACAAAGTACAAGCACAACTAGGAAAACGATAATTAAAACAATTCCATTGTCTCGTTGGAGAGGTAGAAAGTCGCAGCGTATAATAATCATAGCGCGTGGTTTAAACGAAAGAGCTAAATATTCGAAGCGTGTTCCTCGCGGCTTAAATTCTCTTTGCGAGAAAGCTTTGCAACAGAACTTCAGTAGAAAAAAGCACGTACGTATTCATTTAAATAGGAAACGTTTATTTGGAATCGATCAGCGTCCAACCCACGCTTTAGTTTGTATTGGTATTTGGGCACGCTCGCTAAATATCAAAGGTCTTAGTTCGTCAGAGAAGTTTCTCGTTTTTAACGAAACTGCGCTGATGGAACAGCTGATCACATATTGTAACAAATTAAGCCTGTAGAAAATATAAATTAACAGAATAAATAACAGTATAAGTAACAGTATAAATAACTTGTGTAACAGTGTCATAAAACGTTCCTTTTTACCGAGATTACGGCGCGTGGTATTGCAGCGCGGGGAATTACGGTGCGTCGAATTACTACGAGTGGAATTGCAACGCGTGGGACTACGACGCGTGGAATTACGACGCATGGAATCACGACGCGTGGAATTACGACGCGTGGGACTACGAAGCTTGATAAGGTAGCCGAACGATGATGAATTGAATAAAGACACTTTTTCATCTGTGTGATGGAAGCAGTTTAAGGAGTATTACGACGCGTGGAATTACGATGCATGGAATTGCGACGCGTGGAATTAATAACGCGTGGAATTACGACGCGTGGAATTACGATGCATGGAATTGCGACGCGTGGAATTAATAACGCGTGGAATTACGACGCGTGGGACTACGACGCATGGAATTGCGACGCGTGGAATTAATAACGCGTGGGACTACGACGCGTGGAATTACGACGCATGGAATTGCGACGCGTAGAATTACGACGCATGGAATTGCGACGCGTGGAATTAATAACGCGTGGTATTACGACGCGTGGAATTACGATGCATGGAATTGCGACGCGTGGAATTAATAACGCGTGGAATTACGACGCGTGGGACTACGAAGCTTGATAAGGTAGCCGAACGATGATGAATTGAATAAAGACACTTTTTCATCTGTGTGATGGAAGCAGTTTAAGGAGCAGCGTGTCTCAGTGACTGAATTATTCATCCGTTTGACTTGCAAAAATCGGTTTTGCCAACGGACGAAGCTAATCCAATTTGTTGGGGTCGAGGTGTTGAATGATTTAACTGCGGAGGCAAACTAATTTCCTATCCCTGAGGAATAGAATAATTCAGACGTTAAATCGTATCTTCAGAGTTCTGATGGTGAAGTGATTTATCTGGTCAAATGGGATGATTCCAAAATCATGGACATTA